AGCAGAACTTTTAATGAAAAGACTTTTAAAGTTATGATCTCAAAGTAAAAGCAAAAATGGATCTAATTAAAAAGGATAAATCAGGAAAACTAAATTTTGCTAAGATGTACCATAAACAATGAACATCAAACAATTTTACAGCAAGTGTCTCTTATAAAGGCCTCATTTCTCAAGTATCTAAGGAACTGAGTCAAATTTACAAAAATAAAAACCACTCTCTGTGTGCCAAAGAGGTCATTAAAAAAGGGAGGGGGGGACCAACATGTAGAAAAAATATTTATAGCAGCTCTTTCTGTGGCGGCAAAGAATTGGAAACTGAGGTGATGCCCATCAATTGGGGAATGGTTGAACAAGTTGTGGTATATGAATGTATTGGAATATTATTGTTTCATAAGAAAAGATAAGCAGGCAGATTTCAGAAAAACCTGGACTTACATGAACTGATGCAGAGTGAAATGAGCTGAACCAGAACACTGTACACAGTAATGATCAATGATGCTTGACTTAGCTCTTCTGAGCAATACAATGATCCAAAACAATTCCAAGATTCATGATGGGAAATGCTATCCACATCCAGAGAAAGAAAGAACTGATGGAGTCTCAATGCAGATCAAAGCACATTATTTTTACTTTCTTTCATTTTTTTCATGTTTCTTTTCTTTTCTGTTTCTTCTTTGAGAAAATGATTAATGTGGAAATGTTTTATTTTATTGCACATAAATAACCTTTATCAGATTGCTTGCTGTCTTGGGAAAAGGGGAGGGAGAAAAATTTTCAACTCAAAAAATCTTTCAAAAACTGAATGTGGAAAATTGTCTTCACATGTAATTGGGAAAACTATCAAATAAAAACAAAAAAAATTAAAAATAAAAGCCATTCCCCAATCAGTAAACGGTCAATGGATATGGACAGGCAGCTTTCAGGAGAAAAAAAAATCAAAGTTATTTATAGTCATATAAATAAGTGTTCTAATCAAAAGATATTAAGTTTTCAAATGAAGTAATCAAAGGTATCTATAGGCATATGAAAAAAGATTCTAATTCACTGCTGACTGCAGAAATGAAAATTAAAACAATCCTAAGGTACTACTAATACCTATTATATTGGCTAATAGGACAGAAAAAGAAAATGATGCATGGTGGGAGGGACATGGGAAAATGAGACATTAGTGCACTGTTGGTAGGGTTGTGAACAGATTCAAGCATGCTGTAGAGCAATTTGGAACTATGCCCAAAGGGCTAAAAACCATGCATACTCTTCCACCTAGCAATACTACTAGGTCTCTATCCCAAAAGAGATAAAGAAAAAAAAAACACAAAGGAAAAGGACCTACATGCACAAAAATATTTATAGCATTTCTTTTCTGGTGGAAAAGAATTAGAAAGTGAGAGGATGCCCATCCATTGGAGAATGGCTGAACAAGTTGTGGTATGTGATTATGATAGAATACTATTGGGCAGGATACTATAATAGAATATTAGAAGCAGAATGTTCTCAGAAAAACCTGGAAAGACTTGCATGGGCTGATGCAAAGTGAAATGTACTGTGTACAAAGTAACAGCAATATTATAAGATGATCAGCTGTGAGTGACTTAGCTATTCTCAGCAATACAAATGATTCAAGACAACACTGAAGGCCTTATGATGAAAAATGTTATCCATCCCCAGAGAAAGAACTGATGATATCTGAATACAGTTTGAAGCACACTTTTTTACTTTATTTCTCTTGAGGGTTTCTTTGCATCTGTCTTCTTTCACAACATTACTAAAATGGAAATGTTTTGCATGATTACCTATGCATAACCTATATAGAATTGCTTGCCTTCTTAATGAGGGGGGAGGAAGAGAATTTTGAACTCTTAAAGTTTTAAAAATGAATGTTAAAATTTGTCTTTTACATGTAACTGGGTGAAAATAAAATACTAAATTAAGAAAAGAAAAAGTGCTCTAAATCATTACTGATTAGAGCAATGCAAATTAAAACAATGCCAGGGTACCACCTCACACTTGTCAGAAATGACTTAAATGCCGGAGGGATTAATGGAAAATAATACACTAATATACTGTTGGTGGAATTGTGAATTACTCTAATCATTCTGGAAAACAGTTGTGAACTATTCTAAAAAGGCTATGAAACTGTGCATGCCCTTTGATTACTAGATCTAGCAATACCACTACTAGGTCTGTACTACAAAGAGATTAAAGGAAAAGAACCTATATGTGCAAAAATATTTGTAGCAGCTATTTTTGTGGTGGTAAAGGGTTGGAAATTGAAGGGATGCTTGTTAATCGGGGAATGGCTGAAGAAGTTGTGGTATATGATTGTGAAAGGGAGATTTCTGAGAAATCTGGTTAAGATTTGCATGAACTGATAAAGGAACATGAGCAACAATAAAAACAGTAACAAAATGTTGTAAAAACAAACAACTTTGAAAGACATAACAACTCCGACTGAGCAATGATCAACCACCATTCCAGGAGACTCATGATAAGCATGCTACTCACCTCTTGACAGACAATAGACACAGAATGCAAATTGAAATATTTATTTTTGGGATTTGGCCAATGTGGGAATTTGTATTGTAACAAGGGCTTTGTTTTTCTTTCTATTTCAAGTGGGGGTAGGAGGGAGAAAGGGCAGATTTTTGTTTAATGAAAAAAGTAAAATTTAATCCCTTCTGCCAAAAAAAGTGGAACTTGCTAGATCAGTGTCTGAAATCTCCTTTGGACCTCAGGCTTATAAGTAGAACCAGAAAAGAGATGTTAATTAAAAACAATCAACTTGGCACTCACATAAGAAAGCATAGTATACTGGAAAGGGTAATTGACTTGAAGTCTTGGGAGGTATTTGGGAAGCCTGGATTTGAGTCCTGGTTCCTCTATTTGTGAACTCTGTGCCTAAGGACCAGTTATGCTAAGTTTTTAGTATCTCAGTTTTCTTTAGACTAGTTGATTTTTAAGACCTCCTATCACCTGGAAATCTGCAACATCTGTGTATGTACAGAACATGTGGAAGGTCAAATAAGCAAATGCTACCATCTTCCTTATGGCCTTGAATAAGAGGCTGTGGCCCTCTAGTGGCAGAAAGCTACAGAAAAAATTCACCATTTCTGCCATTGCAGAAATCCAAATAGGCCTTGTTTATTCTTTGAGGAATAGTGCCTCAGAAGTCCAAGGAAATATTTCAATATGAATATTCATGAAGCTGATTTCCAGTTTTTATTTTTAAAACTGTTAAGAGGCAGGTTTTTTTGGGGGGGGGGTGTGTTTTAAATTAGTGGGCAGTGTTCAGCAGAAAATAAAATCCTACCTCTAACACTCGATAGCTATGTGAACCTGGGCAAGTCACTGAATTTGTGCCTCGGACACTTACCTAATAATAATTCAAAGGCTGGGTGTGAATCTGCATTAGCAAGGAAGTTCCCAATATTATCCAGACCCTGAGTATTCGGCATAAAAAAGTCCCCCACAGTAAGAGTTCTGGGCTCAAAACCTAAGGGGTTCTTTGTATGATTAGCCTAATCTGAAACAAATCATTTTTCAAGTAAAGATACAATTATTGAGAGATAGAAATAAATGCCAGTGAATAACACCAGAATTCTCTGTGGAAGTTAAAGTGTTTATTGATGTGTTTAAATTTTGTACATTCCCCACAGACCACATTAAGGAGTTTGCAGGTCAAGTTTAATCTGTGCATAGTGGGAGAGACACGAATGGGAAAGGGGAAAGGGGGAAGAACCCAAAGTCACAGGAAAATAGAAAAAATACACCACAGGTTACCAGAACCTCCAAATTTAAAAAAAGCTGTGAGCATCAACATCAACTGTACAAGCATTACAGAGACATGGTGGTGAATGCAACAAAAAAACTGTCACTGCTCTCCATGGTGTCTATAGATCCAGTTTTCTATAAAAGTTGCAGTATCCTTTTTCGAAATGAAAGCAAACATTCAAGTTTATTCTCCCCCTCCAATGACAGGGGAGTTCTAGGGAGAGTGTCATAAGCAGCCCCACGCCCGGCCGTGACTATAAATATTCTTCAGGTGGACACCAAAAAACCTGACACGGGTAAGGGAGAGGTAGTGAGATGAAAACATGTTTAAAAGGACAAATGCCAATGAAGGCAAAAATTCAAAGCTTTGTTCAAGGAAGGAGAAAAGTCAAATGAACTTGATTTGTTTGGGGGGAAGGGAAAGAAGGTTACAAATTAGAGCAGGGAGGGATGGCAGAGCACTGAGCACAACTGCACAGACTTAAAGGAAAACAGACTTAGGAAGAAAAGTAGTTACAGTTACCACCCTATCTGTGTACATCATGCTGGCGAAAGAGCTCAAAACAACCCAACCTTAGGTTCTTCAAATGCCTTGGTGCATGCAAACACCCATCAACCCAGCAGTGGAAGCACCAGATCTAAGAAACTAATTCTTTAAAAAGTAATGTTTGAGAGATGCCACACAACGTGCTGCAGTGGTCCAGCACCTCATCTCTACCTTTCATTTGATCAGTTTGCAACTTTCCACAAGTTCATTTAAAGGAATACTGCTTTTAATATATAAAAGCCAGAATGATAAATGAGCTACAAGTTCATTTATACAATGCAGTTGGTACAAACGACCTTCATATACAGTCTATCAGAAATAAAAATCAACATCTTCCATTTATATAGAGAGCTTGTGTGAGACAATACAATAGAACTGAATTTTCAGATTAATTTAAAAAAAGAAAAAACTACAGTCATATATCTGCAATAGATCAATTTTCATTTCATTTAAGATTTATATATCATATAGTTATATTATCATTTTTCACCCATTTAAAAGAATGGAAATTGCAACTCTACAGTAGTACTTATAGTCTTAATGATCCAGGAGTTCTGAATATAAGATGAAATCCTCTTGAAGCAACAGTTGGTCAGCAGTTGATCCAAAACACTGGACCCCTTTTGGCCCACCTCTTGCCACCTCCTTTCCCACCAGGAGTGCTGCTGCATTTTTGAGACATTTAAATCTGCATCTGCTCCAGGTATTTGTAAGTTGGGTTCTCATAGCCGTGGTTCTGCATCTTGTTCAGGTGGCGCTCCTCAGGAGTGAGCATTGGGTCAACCTGGAAAAGTGTTGCACAAAAATATCGGTCAAGGCTATAGAGGGTAAAATAACTGGATCTTCAAGAGCCTACCAGTGACACCCGCCAAACAGGCATGAGTCTGAATTTCCTTTGCTCAAGGAGAAGTGTCTCAAACAATTGATTTCAAGATCCCAATCTGAGTCAATCAATTGTAGAGTTATCTCTTTATAATTCCTCATTGTCCCACTACTCCTCAGTGAAAAATAGTAACTTAGTGTTTTAGTCTACAGTATTACCAATCTTCAAGGCCGATTTTATCAATCTATTCTGCTGAAACTGCTTCCCCACACCTCAAACAAAAAAAAAGTATACTGCCTAACCTTAGAAAACTAATCTCTTAGCCAAATAAATACCTTTTACCCTAATGGAATAATTTCTTGTTCCTATTCCAACAGGCAAAATCAAAGCCCCAACTAATATTAGAAGCCCTGATCCTTGTGAGATAATTCAGCATTTCAAGCAATGCACAGGGAACAGTAGCTCATCTGCAGAGTAGAGGATGTGAATTAGATGCTGAGGGGGAACAAAAACGAGATGGTATGGGTCCCTGTCCTTATGGAACCTAGAGTTTATAAAAAATGCATCAGAGGTGCACAGGAGGGAAAAGACGTCTCAGAAGAGCTAGAATTCCATTTGGGATTTAAAGGATGAGAATAAATTCCTTATAAGAGGAGAATATTCTAAAAGCATAGAGAGCAACATGAGACAGGATCAAGATCTTAGTGTAATGAAGAGGGCTGGATGTGTAGTCTGGAATACCTGGGATCAAATCCTGACTCAGAATTGTTTAAAGGGTCACACTCATTAGCTGTGTAACCCTGGGGGCAACTCACAACCTCTCTGGACTTATTTCCCCATCTATAAAATTAGCGAGTCACCAGTAAGGTGCCTTCTAGCTCCGTATAGGACACATGTGGGTTAATCCTGCTTGGCTACCCATGGACCATAAAGAAGGAACAAGAAAGATAAAGCTGGAGAAGTGAAAATGCACCCTATCACAGGGAACTGAGTTTGAATTTCAACTAGATTTTCAGAATATAAAGGGCATAATTAGATATATTCAAAACAAGGTAATCTGGGTATTAGAATCATACAGGAGGAAGAGTAGGTTTTTGGGGAAAATAAATAACTTTGTTTTGGACATTTAACAACTCATCTGTGGGAGCCTTTTACATGAGAACTAGTAATTCAATGAGTAGTCCAACTGAAAACTAAATGTGTCTAATACCCGAGAGTGTAAGATGATAAACTTACAGGAAATACCTGTTATAAGGGTCTGGAAGCCTAAATTCAAACCTAAGTAATACAAAGTGTGGCTCGGAGCAGCTAAGTGGCACAATGGACAGAGCACTAGCTCTGGAGTCAGGAGGACCTGAATTCAAATCCAGCCTCTGACACTTGATCACTTGATACTTACTAGCTGTGTGACTCCGGGCAAGTCACTTAACCCCAACTGCCTTGCAAAAAAAAATTAAAAAAAAAAAAAGAAGTGTGGCTCCTTACCTCCACAATCCCATGGCTAATGGTGCCATATTGCCTTTTCCTCAGCATCACCAGGCTGATGACGATGACAGTAGCAATAGCTACTGCAATGACCAGCAGGCCAATGAGAGCACTGCTACTTAGGCTGAAGTCATCTCGTAGTGATCCTTCAGAGTCCTGAAATTACAACCCACCAAGTAGGGAAAAAACCAGCAAGAATCTTCAGGTTACCTTCTAAACACAATGAAAACTTCCCTAGGAGCTGCTGCCTCACTGAGGGCACACAAGTAATGTTTGCCCATAACAAACTATTACATCTATCCCTCAAATACAATGCAACACCAACACACACACGTCATGACTCTCAATCAGATAAACATATTTAGACACTCTGGTACAAAACTCCAAATATGTGCCCAAGTACAAAGGTTTTAAACTTGTCTTCCAAAGGTCTGAAAAATCAAGATCTAACAAAGTGCTGAAGGTATGTTAGAAGTAGGTTCAATGTAAGTCTCTTTTTACAGCTCAAATGAAGGAAGGGGGAATAGAGAAGCCTCAGAAAGAAATGGCACTATGCCCTGGGACTACATACATACCGGCTCTTCCACAAGTCCTCCAACTCTCTCAGCATTGAAAATCATTTCTTTAACATCCAGGGTTTCGTCAATGACCTAAAACAGTCATGAAGGGATCAGTGACTGTGCAGAAGGGGAGATTTAGGATGGAACACTTGGGAGATGTTGTATATCCTCTGTGACAACAGGAATGTGGCAGAGGAAGTCAAATACATCCCCCTCTGGACACCAGCCACTTGCATTGCCCGTGTTCCATCCCCCAAATTAAGGGACAAGTATGTAGGCCAGACTATGCTGCAGCTGTCCAAGTGGTTTTGGAGTGCTGGCCCTTCCGTCTGTCATGAATTTTTTCCTTCATCATGACGTTGTATTAAAGTTACTTAAAAAACTAACCACACATTGGTGTAATACAATACTCTGGGGTCCACAATGCCAGGAGATTTGGCTTAAGTATCAAACTTCAACAAACATAGCCCAGAAAGTAAAGCTTTAGGGAATAGGGCCACGAAAACAAGACAAATCTCCGGGCAGTCTAGAGAGCCAAACCTAACTTTTGCCTCTCAGTCAAGTTACCAACCCTCCATCCGCTTGAATGTGGCCTCTGTCTAGCATCTCTTTCAGTTTTCCAGCTATGAAATCATTTCCCTCCCCATAGTTTAACAAGTAATAGGCAATGGCAAGTTCTGCTACTGCCGTAAAAGAGGTTCTCTACTCCCTCTTCAAACCCAGATGTGAATCAGCATAGTAAGTCTGTAAGTAGCTTCAGCCCAGACCTACTAAATCTTTTGGCACCATAAGAATAATGCACACATGATTATTCATCTGTAAAGCAACTAAAACAATGCTACTCACTTTAATTATACTCTCAAAATGAAAATGAGAGGGGAGGAAAGAAAGAAAGCTCACCACATTCTCATCCACTTTATTCTTGCTGTTAATCACTTTCTCTTCAGCACCAATCAGTCCATCTAGCTCTGCCACACCAGACCCTATGCACAAAAAGATTGCTAATGAGGTGCCAAGAATTTGCTGGCCTTATATAAACCTTATAGTGTCAAAAACCACTGAAGGAATAGGTGAGCCTATGACACACAACTGCTAAGACACTGCTTTTTTCCCTAACATTTTAGGAGATGCACTATGAATTACAATGAGGAGTGACACTGGTGCTTTTTGGAAGACTGATATGGTTATGATGGAAGAGAAAACAGCACTGACCTAGAAACATGGAAGCTGAAATCCTGAGAGATTTCCAAGGTATAATGAATAACCTACACAACATAATTTTCCATAATGTAGATCACCTATCGTCCCCTACCTGCTCCTTCAGTGGCATGCTGGTGCCCTTTAGAATGACCAGTAATGCAATTCCATCAGTGATGAATCAAGGCATTTGACCCAGAGATGGGAATATTCCTAACATAAAGGTGATGGGGAGGACAGGATTTCAAGCACAGAATATCACTATCCAACATCACACATTTATGGTGATATGACACACTAAATATTATAGTATGAACAAACACGGCAATAAAACCCAGAAAAAGAGCAAATTCTGTATTATTTTTGGATTTAAAGTACGGAGTCTGAGGGAAGGAAAAGGAGGAGAAAAGAAGGGGAAAGAGAGAAGATGATGGGAGGCAGAATGGAAAGGGAGAAGGGGGAAGAAAAGGAGATGAAGATACAAAGGGAGGAGGGGAAAATAAGAGTTCTAAACCAATGGTCCTGCCAGTATATTGTATATACTAAGTAGTTCAAACCAAAACAGCAGCTTGTGTAAAGGTACTGTCCTTCCTAAAGAAAAAGACAACAATGCCTAAAGTCAGGGAAGCAAAGCTTTTCAACTCACAAACTAAAACAGTACTTAACATTCAGTGATTAATAACAGAGCTAGCAGAGTTGCTGAGTTTGCAGCTTTGCTAATGCATGACACATTAACTCATTACACTGAAGCCAAAAGCAAGCACAATTTTTCTCAAGCCTCCCTTTTATGGAAGAACTGCAGACTTGGCTGTTGGTTAAGTTAAACAAGGACAGGTTTTATTGTTTAAAAAATACCAAGGAGATAGCAATGCTATGCTCCAACTATTTGAGAAAGAAGAACCTGGAAATTTATTGCCTCAATCAGGATGCTCATTCTTAGTGAATTCTAATTTTAAAAGCTCACATTTTATGAAGCTAGAACCTTAGAAAAATAAATGGCATCATTAAATTAAATGAGATAAAAAATTGCAACCAGTAATTTAGACTGGCTTAATTCTTTTTATGCTGCGACTTAAGTGTTTCTTTAAAATGGTAACAATTCATTTTGATTTTATGGTCTCGAGTCAAAACAAGCAATTTCTAGGGAGCAAGAGGTAGATTATACCTTGGAAGAAGGGAAATTTACCTAAAGAGATAATTCAGGAAATGGCAAATTAATTTTTTAGTACTGAGAAAGTACAAAACTATAGGGTCATATCCATTAGAACATCTCAAAAAATTCTGGAGAGACAACTCAACTTCACTAACAAAGTGTCACATAGATGCAGACAAAGTCCCAAGAAAACAGACACTAGAAATCTTAGTGTGCTACTTAGACCACTTAATTAAATTAGGACATTGATCTCTACTAGGAAATTCACATTAAGGTACATGAGGATGCACTCATATGAATGTACTACTCAGACTCACCTAGATGTGTTCTATCATAGATCACTTTAACTGTCCTCTAATCACCACAGAATGCTTATGTGGTGCTCTTGGCCATAATCTGTTTACATAAGGATGTTAATCAAAAAAAAAAATCAGTGAACTCTCCGGAGACAGTCTGATGCCACCAAAGGAGCATCCACAGAAGGAACATGGTGCTACCAACGGCTGTTAATGGTAATACCAACTTTAAAACAAGGTACTGTTCCAAGCACTGACAAGAAGCATAGTACAGCGGGAATAGCCCCTGATATAGGAGTCCAGAGAACTCAAGTTCTGAGTACCAGCTCTGCCACTTAATAGCTGCATGACTAAACAAGTTCTCATTTCTCATTCTTAGTTCCTTCAACAGTAAAATAGGTATCAAATTTGTACTACCTAAAAGTACTCTGTAAACAGAAATGACACATAAATGTGGAATGTTTTCAGAGGAACAATGACACATGACTGCCCTGGTGTGGGCAACTCTTGCAATGCAAACTCTTTCTCACAGTTGCAAATTAGTAACCAATCCATAATTTATAATCTTTGAGTTACCTGGGACAGAGTTTAAGAAATCTGCTCCTATGGTTACATAGATATTTATTTGCTAAAGGCAGGACTTGGACCCAAGTCTTCCTGACTCAAAGGCAAGTCACAAGAAAGCCTCCACCTACCCAGTACACCATGATGGCTCTCAAAGGTGCTAACTCTAGAAGTCATTAAATTTCAGTTTATTTCCCAAATAAGCCATTTCTTCCTCCACAATTTCTAATAATTTAGGGAATACTACAAGTCAAAAAGAAAAGCCTTATGAAGATGAAGGACTTCTTAAAAGGAGAATAAAAGATGAAGAAGAAATGCTGAACAACAGATCAATGGCTAAGACTAATATTGTTTGCTGACAAAAACATCCCTCAGTAATTTAACATTCAAAACACCCCTCAGTAATTTAACATTAAGTCCAAAGACATGTATGTCTAGCTACTGTTATCAAATATGCTCTAAGAAGGCTAGACCAATTCCTGAGCACGATGAGGTGGGCCCCCCTTTGGCTGCCCTCAATTGAAAAATGAGGTGGGGAAGAAAAAAAAAATCAGGTGATGGCATGAAACATAAAATGAAACTACCAACACACTGAGGAAGTGAAAAGTGATGGGAGGCTTATAGGGAGCAGCTTTTACAAACCAACCTTTTTTCATTGGGTGGTACAAATCCGGCTGGGTGTCTAGCAGAAGGGAAAACGACAAACACAAAATAGCAAAAAAGAGGAGATTAAAAAAAAGAAAATGGCTTCTCTTCAAGATTCTTGTTTTCAGTTTTTGCTACTTCTCTTAAGAACAAGGGGCTCTGTCTTAAAAAAAACAAGACAGAAACTCCATTCTTCCCTAAAATAATTCCCAAAACTTCCTAATAGTAAGAACCAAAGATTTATTAGAGAACATTCTAGTGGAAAAGAAGGGAGAGTTTGGTATTTCTCGGGCCCTGGACAGTAACTGCAGGATAACATGCCCCTAAAAGATGAAGCTCAGTCTGGAAGGTAGAGTTCCTTGGGGGAAAAAAAGGAGAAATCTAAATTAGAATTATCTGTGACATACTGACAAAGTAATATTGTCACTTCTAGGTACCCAATTTGATGTATAACCAAAATGATATGCCCTTAGAATATGAAAGAACTGGGGACAACTAGAAGGGCTTACATTTCTGAGTGGTTGTGGGGGTATTTGTAGGGGGAGACAGGCTTTAGGAATGAGACAATGAAACAAAGCACCCTTAAACGCTGCATAGTCAAATCTCAGTACCCCAAGAAAATCAGGACAATGGGAATTCTTATTGCTCTTCTGACCTGGAGGCAAAGCCCAATTCCAGCAGCTCTTCTACATAAATGCCATCATCTCCCTTCTGCTAACAGAACTAAGGCTTTAATACAATAACCATAGCACATGACCACATGCCCATAAGCAGCCTGTCAACAATACTTCTCAGGGGCATTGGGCCCAGGAGCTTGTTTATTTTCAGCGCACAATCAAAGCATCTCAAGTCCTTTGTGAAGACACACAGCTCTCTCTGTTTCCCATCAAACCTATCCCACTGTCCAAATAAGTGAGCTCAGCGTCCTGGCTCCCCAAGACAGGTCACACATTCAGCCACACACACCTTCATTCTCAGGTAAGGATGGGAAAGGATGGAAGGAGTGGAAAGGTGGAACCTCATCACTTTCTTCAGAACTGACTCGGACATCTACTGGAGACTCTGAGATGGATGAGGTGAACTGATCCATATCAGCACGCTGTTCCTGAAGTAGTTCATCTAAAAACAGGCAAAGAGCAAAATAAAATAAAAAATACTTTTCATAAGCATCTAGTTTTCAAAAGTCTTCAAGAAGGCAACTGTTTGCAAGGTACAAATGAAAATGATTTTAGAAGGACAGATGTTGTTGGCTTAGTTGAGTAGAAGGGAATGGGAAAAAAATAGGACTAAGAAACAGCAGTTGTGAAGGAAAAAAAAAACATTAACAGGCTACTTTCCTGCACCCTTGCTATTTCACACCCTAGATTTTCTTCATGTATTCAAATTATTACAAGGTCAGTGAAACAGAAGGCATTACTGGATCAAAGTCATTACAGCAACTCCTATGCCCTTTTCCTAAGCTTGCGAATGTAGATCCTAGAAAGAAAACATTTTCAATCTTCAAACAAAAAAGTGCTGGTATAATAATTCTCAGTCTCGTTGACCTCAGTTGTTCCCATCCTCTCTAGCTTCTTCCCACCACAATTAGTAACAACTAATTCTGGACAGAAAAAAAAACATTAGTTGCTACCTACCAATTTCTTCCTGGATTTCCTGGGCAACATAAGGTACTTTGTATAAGAGGGACAGGCTCTGATTTCTTCTCTCTTCAATCACATGGAGATGTGTCATTACCTAACCGGGCACAAACATAGTTAAGCAAGTAACTTTTATTTTTCAATAACAACCTCAAAAGTTTATCTCCCTGGAAAACCATTTCCAGACCATTCAAAGTCTCAAGCTGAATCTCAGGACTTACTAAATAAGAATTCCCTCAACACTCATGACTAAACTAACACTTTAATAATAAAATATAAAATCCACGCCCAGAAGATATTAGGAACTTAACCAAAATATAACTAGGTATAAACTTCATTCACAATTCTGCTTATTGCTTAATTTTAAACCTAACATATGTACTAATTGGCATGGTTGGGCAAAAGAGGTACTCTTCACCTAAAATACAGCGAACCCTACCTATAATGAATTGGGATTTTAATTATATGGGGCCAAAATATCCAAATCATGGATTATCTCAACTCTTTTATTCCCTTACTTCTCTCCCTACAACTGCATGTTAATTTTTCATTATCTCCAGAGTCTAACGGAAGAAAGGTAAAACTCAAAACAATTTTAATATGATACAAAATACTAGATCTGACAACAAGTCACAAGGGAAAAGGATGAAACTATTGATAAAAGCAGGTTTTCTGATGTCACCCTAAAGCACAACTCTTTCTTTTCTAGATAAAAACACAACAATATTCAAGTATTAAAATCTATAATAATGCCACATATTATAAAAAAACCATTGCCAACTAGTTACTTACACTAATAGGGTAATAATACATCCACCTTGATAGTGTGAGAGAATTGTGGCATTTTAACAGTCAGTAAGGAAAATTATGATCCATATTTCAGAAGCCACAACACCTACCTAGTCTGTGAGATCACTGAACATGTATTAACAAATTTTTCCCTACAGAGGGTGCTCCAAGTCAAGAATTCCAAATGTCTGAACTGGAAAATTAAGTTAAATGGAACTGTTTTTATTATAGGTTAAAGCCTTTCTGACCTTTAAAAGGAAGGATGAAAGCAATTTAATTTTATTTTTGCAAGTCTGTCAATCAAATAAACTGATGGAAAAGCAGAGTGCCTGGGAGAAATAATGCAAACTGAAATGTAACTTAAACACGCCATCTTGCCAGAACTGTGTTCATGCTGTAACTTTTCCAAAGGAATTAAAGGACTACAGAGAACACATCAACAAGAACACAGCAAGAGACAAAAGCTAACAAATGAGTTTCTTTTACATATAAACCTGGGGGTAGGTTACAAGGGTGTGAAACCCAAGTCTATCACTTCCAGAATTCTATGGAGATCAAACTGAATGACCACTGAATGACAAAACAGAGGTTAGAAAGCAGGAATAACAGAATGTTTTATGTACTTAGTGGGGCCAATAAAGAAACTGTGGGGTCATGAGAAATTAAAGGCTAGCTTGAGTACATGACTGCTGCTCTGACAAGGTTTTCACACACTAGGGGAAAGACTCCCTCCTCCCCTACTGTGCTTAGTGATGATTCTATACTGCAGTCTGGTGACTCACATTAGAAAAATTAATTTAAATTTAACACAAAGGGAGGCAGCATAGCATCGCTGATAGAAAGTAGGGCTCAAACTCCAGAAGACCCTGGGTTCCAGTCCTGCTGTGACCTTGGGCAGGACACTACAATTCTCACTAGCCCTAGGCAACTCAGCAGTACCGGTATAGCACAGTCCTCACTGGGAACTTAATCTAGCAATAAAAACTCAGGTCCAGAAAACAAAAAAATATTAATGGGAAACAATAATGCCCAACAACAAACAATCTAGCCTTACCAAAGATGGGCAAGAATCCAGTACAATTCTCCTTGTTTATTTATTTCAGCCTGTAACACCACAATTCTAATTAGCAGCATAGTCAAGGAGTCAGCTTTGAAGGAAAAATGTTGTTCTGTTCATTTAAAATCTTTGTAGTGGCAAAAGATCTACAAAAAAGACGCCTGTCCATTTACTATGCTTGCCATTACCTCCAAAATGCTAAGAGTAAAGAAAGGCAGAGTTCTGCCCATGTTGCACAGACCTACTATGAAAGAAAACTATGAACAAGAAGGGCAGACACAGAATAAGTTGGGGCAATTGTGATCTATGTTAACTAGTGAAAATAGTACCAGGGAGGTCATAGATCATCTAAATATTTAAATAATATTCCCTTCAAACAGTAAATTTAAGAAAATGGACATATAGGTCTGACAAAATTAGAGTTGGCCTATGAAATGTATATGTTTCTTGTATAGTGTACAACATGACCCCTCTTCTCCAGGAACTTGATTATTATTCAGTCACTGACTGAACAGCTTTTAAAATGGTCAATGTCAGCTAAAGAATAATAATTTCAGAGTTTTGTACTCCATAAAATTAATTCCAGCTTGTCCTCAGTTGAGTGTTCAGTCCTGTGGACTGACCACCTGCTCTCCTTTTAAAAGAAGGTATGAGGTTTTTAAAAATGGAAAAGTATTCATTTTCATAAAATTTTATGTATAGAAGCATTGAGTATCCACTATCTCAAAGACAACTGTATTAATAACTACACAAGAAATTAACAAAGGAAAAGTGATTTAGCTGCAAGGCCTGTCCTCCATTTAAAAAACTTCAGTGAACATTGACTAGGATAGATTACTAAACTGTACAGATGTCAATGAACTTCCAAGTTTAGAAGTTTACTGACGATGTAGTTTATATCACAAGATGTAAGTGAACAAACTGTAAGTCAACGCACTAAATTACACTACCATTACAGTATTCCAGGCAATATCAAAAATCAGCAGAAGCTAACCGTGCTGAAAAACTGTTGAGTCCATTTGGAAATTTTTTCTTTCAGATATAATCACACATATCTAAACTTTTGGTCATCATGGATGTTTAGTATGCAAAAACTAAAAACAGTTCTTTCTCAACAATCAACACATATCAAATTTTATTATTCACGGATTAATGTGGCAAACTATTGTGAATATTCAGCCAATTAACCAAAGAAGTACTAAACAAGGATTCTCAAATGACTTTCACCGAGAATCACAATCAGTTCATTAATTTTTCTTAATATTTCTCTTTCATCTTTTATTTTATATTTATGGAATTAGGCATTTCCATAACAGTATAATAAAAATATGATTGCATATGAAACTTCAAGTCAATACATAAAGTTATCATGTAATATTATTTCTATTATACCTGGGATTTCATCTGGGCAGCCTTTTCTGGGTCAACTGCCAATACATGCTGATAATGGCGGATGGTATGTAGGCGATCCTTGTTCTCAGCACGAACATAACGCCTTAAGGCCTGGAGGATTCGGTGAGGCTGGAAGAGGGAAGAATGCAAAAATACAGTCACTAAAGAACTAGAAACAGACAGAAAACAATAACTAATCCAGCTTTTTCCTGGGCCCTTAACTAATTCTTCTCCATTATTAGCCCAATTTTAGTTCTCAATCCATCACTTGTAGTTTATTTTTCCTGCGCTTTCACTATTACCTCTCACTAATAGCAGTCAGTTCTTTAATCAACTCTTGATCCATTAATTCAAAAGAATAAACATTAAGAAATATGGGCACAATTCTCATGCTTTAAGAGCATGGACATATCCAGAATGAGGGTGGAATAATGGAATGGAAGAATCTGAGACCATAGAAACAAATTAAAAATAAAACCAATTAATTAATTAATTGGGAAGAAGAAGAAACAAATCCCTCTACTTTAGGACACTAGCCTTTCACAGTTAACTTGAAGACCAAGTACTTAATATTTTATGTCCTACTTATCTTCTGTGAAATAGCAGAGGAAGATGTTGGGCCATCAAATGTTTGATTAAATTTAGAAGGGCTGTTTTATCATTCTTCTCTTTTCTACCTCAATCTGAGCAAAAGCTTCCACGGGGATACTTTTAATGATACAATGTATCACAACTTAAGTTTGACCCTGCTTCTCCATAATGACCAAAGTCACGGCACAAATTAGTCTCCAAAACAGTTAACTTCCTTAAAAAAATTAGTTCATCAAGAATGAACACTGAACACAGCTCACCCGTGGTGGGTCAGACTGCAAGGCAGCCAGGTAATTCTCTAGAGCCATGCGGCGACGATCATTCAGCATGGCTTCCACTCGAGCCAGGTGAGTCTCCACCAGCTGCTGCTTCTCACTGGCTGCTTCCTTCTCTAGAGATTTAACCATTGCTTGGAAGTGCTGAATCAAAAGAAGTAGGAAAAACTATGTATTTCACCAGAAACCAAAAGGTTGCATTAATGTCAGGGGAAGACATATGCAAGTACACAATATATACTAGAGTTCTCCAACTAAAAGGTATAGGATTCTTCTACTTGAGTGCCTATTTGTGAAGGCTGATGTTAATCCTAGAATGTTTAGAGAAAGGAAAAGTCTTAATTTTTTCATAGTTTGCTCTCTTAAGACAAACACTATGAATCATCTACCAATATGGGTAATATGTTATGTTGAATCATTCCTATTCACTTGTAGGATTGCTGGCAAGAATCTATTATAGCTGGCCAGATTTGGTAGAAGGTGCTGAATAGTATATCTGTGAAAAAACACACTGGTGCACACAGCAATTTCAATTTTTGACCTTGGAATCATGAGTATCATGGACTAAATCACTGACCCAGATACAAACACTAGAGGTAAAGACATAGCTCAACTGCTAAACATCTAAAGAAAAGACCTTAAAGTAATAAAATCATTCTGCTTTTAAGATGATAGTATTCAATCAACCCTTATGAAATCCTAAATAAATGATGTAGAATAATAACCTCTCCTTTAGTCTTCATATTCTTTTGGTCTCAAAGACGGGGCACATTTTGCTACTGGCACTGTAAGGCTACATTTTTAGAAAGCTGGAAATCAAGTTTGTCAGAAATCATTATTTTCTGTCTTCTCAATAGATATGCAAAAGATTTCAGTTCTGTTAGGAAAAGCTATAATCTAAACCTGGAAGGTTCAAAACACATACATCTTCCAGAAAAACAAAACAATGAAGAAAGTCCACAGACACATCTTGTTATCAGATAGTCTGATGGAGAGTTTGGCTTCTTCCTACCAGAGTTGAGCAGGCCACAGTCACCTTAGAGATGAAGACACAAACTATGCAAGCACATGTAATTACTTTGTAATATGAGCTCTCCAACTAAGAGGTATCAGAATTGCTCACTTCCCAAGGTTTTGGCTATGAACATATATTCTCAAGCAGAAGAAAATCAAGGTTTTTTTCAAACACAGATGGTGTCTCCTACCTGAATCAGGGTCTGTCTTTCTGCCTTAGGAAGGTTCTTAGCTTGATGCTCTGCTTCTTCCCATTCCTTCTTTACCTACAAGATACAAAATCAAGGAACATACCTTCTGCCTTCTCTCCTCCTCCTCTGTTGAGTATTTTTTCCCTCAACACATGGAGAACTCCATGAGGGAATGCCTACGGGCAAAGGCTCTCACCATTAATTTGTATTGGTAATTTTCCAACAGTAAAATGAGGCTGTTAGACTAGATTATCTCTGAAGTTCTTTCCAATGTTAACATTATATGGGTATAATTTTGGGAGGAATATTCCAGAAAAGTTTTCATTTTTAGAGTATTTCTGTACATCTACAATCTAAACCCACACTCCTGTTTCCCTCATCCACAAGTGAATCTTAACAGCTTTGTATGCTTAGTTGACCATTTTAGATTGAGCTATTTGCTAAATTCGAAAAATGCTGAAGTAAAATGGCTTTATGCTTAACCAAGGAAACAAAAAGGGGTTAACTATAGAAAAGTGTAATCATAGTTGTCTGATTTTTTTTAATGGTCATAAACCAATATACTTGGAATATGAGAAAGATAATGGAAACAAAAAATTCTGTTTATGATCTGATTCAGTTTCCTCTTTTGAAAAATGCAGGAGGTTGGTTTAAAAGGCTTCTAAGAAGAGGGTACCAGGTTTTGGTTTTTATTATAAAAACTCTATTAGCAGATTATCAAATTGATGCGATGATAATGTCAGGGCCTATACTTACTCTGTCCATGCGATTGCGATGCCGAATTTCGAGCTGCTCCTTAGCCTTCTGGAATCTAGCATGCTCATTGTCATCTGCAGAGGTCTCGAAATACACATCAACATCATTGGTTGGCAGAGGAGTTGGAGGAACTGAAACAAAATTAGAAGGAAGGTTCTGGAATCAAGGCATATTGTTGAAAATGTCTGCTCCTCTGCTACTGGGAGAAATGGAAGCTTAGGACCTGTAAAATTGACTTAGGTTGTCTTAAGTTATGCTAAGGAGTAGAGAGTTTCTGTTGTCTGCCAAGACTTTATTACACTGCAACCAGAAATGTTCTACACAAAAATGTTAGTCAACTACCTTAGATCAAGTTAGTACAGAAATTTAGTGGTGTGTCAACCATCTAGATTATCTTCAGCAACAGCAAGTTGCTCAAGTGAATGAGTGTGGGAGAAAGGATTTACTCTATCTTTTTCCAGAGTTTCTTGTAATCTAAACTATTTAACCACTATTTTAAAATCCTCTCTTCACCACTACTACAATCTGAGCCAAGATGGATGTACAGGGTAAAGTGGTGACTTTGTGAAAACCAACTTTGCCAAATATGAACATACATTTAATTTTAAATTATTCAAGACTGAAGGTTCTGGCTTTATTTTGCTTTCTGTCATCCATCTTCATGTATCATTTTCTCAATTCATTACCTCCTTTATAAGACAGGAAAGGTAAAAAAGAAGAGTTAAATTGTACATACAGAGACCAAATTGCATTTTTGTTTTTCAGGTTCTGTGACGAGAGAAGCCGAAGCAACTAACTGAAAATTAAGTGTTGAGTATTGCTTAGAGGCACCCACCCCATGTTATACCTAGTATTTACCAAGAGCATGAAAAACTAAGTTGCTATATGGTACAATGACAGGAAATACTGACTTTAAATTACATTTGAACTTATAAACTATTAAATCTAATTAGCACTCACTGCCCATTAAGTAGGAAACAAAACATATTTTAAAATGAAAACATTCTTTATTACATAAACTGTTATCAGCCCCAGGAAAGTGGATGTCTTGCACAACTGATTCTGCCAACATTCTAAGAAAAAGATCAATGAAACAAATTCAGTTGTCCAACCTCTCAAGACAATATTTATGGAAGTTCTTGTCAGATCATCTCCTTAGAGATTTCACAGGTTAGGCAGAATAGCTCTTGACTTGCCAGCACAGTTTAAACAACTGTGTAATGCATATAAACCTAAACTGAAGCCAAATGCTAAAAAACCGTATAATGATGTATTCAATAAAATCTCTGTGACTATTTACCTTCCACAGAAGTTATAAGATTAAAGCAACTGGGTGACAAGCACTTATTCCAAACTCACACAAACTTAACTGGCTACTACAAAAGGTTTATGTACCTTGTCAGGCCAAATTGTTTTAAATAATCTTTTTTTTTCCTCTTTCACTATAAATCTGTGTGGAAGATTATCTGATACAAATGCTAAAAACACTCATCATAAACTTTCAAATGAGAGTAAGCAATAATCTGGATCATTATTCTTCTAAAGACAAGTCTTATAAAACAGAATATGGCATCACACAATATATAACAATTTAACTGGAAATATGATGTACATTCTTATGTTTCTATCATTGTTATTCAATTCTAAATCAGGAATCTAAGAATAAAGCTGAAAAGTTTATGTATTGATAGGTAAAAGGACTAAAAGGCATCTCACAGAGGCATTCTAGTCCAAACCTTCATTTTACAGATGAGGAAAGTGAGGCAACTCAGGGCATATAAGTGACTTCCACGAAGTCCCACTTACTTAAGTGACAATAACGAAACATGCAAGCTGCTGCTGCCACCAACCATTCAATAGCTTGGTTCCAACAGCTTGCACAGCTGGTATAAGTGGAGAAATGATTAATAACTCTGTCTTGGATTAGTTATGTGACACTTGCCAAGTAATGTTTCTGACACATATTTTCCTAAGCTGCAAAGTAGAAATAACACTAGCACTAAGATTCGTCTCATAAGGTTGTTGGGGAAATAAAAGGGAGAGGGATGTTTTTAAAAGGGGTGGAGGGGGGGGGCGAGAATAGTGACACGATGCTGTTTACAAAGCATTTTCCTCACAATTGTGGAAAGCAAGTTGCACAATTATAATTGACCGTTTATGGATAAGGAAAGATTCAAAGGTGACTTGACCATGTTTACACTGAGCACTGTTCTCTTGGTCCCAAGTGCACAAAGTATGGATAAGGGAAGATTCAAAGGTGACTTGGCCATGTTTACACCAATGGCTAATACGGTTTAAACCCAGGAGGACTCTTCTCTTGATTCCAAGTACAGTGTTCATCTACTAGAATGCATCTCCTTCTCTCTATAAAAGCACTGCTAGGTTACAGTTAATTCTATCTCTGTCCCATCCAGAGATGATCTGCTAAAAACAGCTCTTTTCCATCTAGAAGTACACACAGACACAGTCACATCCACACAACCACAGATACACACAATAGGCAGAATTCACCACTACCAAGGATAATAATTTTATGAACTGAATAACTGTCACAGTCTTGAATAAATGAACCCAACTTTATCTTATCACCCCACATAAGTGCCCTAGACAGTTATCACTACCTTCATTTTAAGCAAGATATACTTTAGTAGTTGTTACTATTTACTCCCAGATTCTTTAAATTGCCTGGCAGTCTAAACAGAAACTAAAGACAGGTTTTTAAGAATTTGGGTAATCATTTTTTTTACAAAATTACTGATCATTTTTAAAAGAGAAGAAAAAAAGGCATTAGCGATATAAATGGATTGTATTACTTCTCCTAAATCTTACATCTCTATATCTAAGACTGGGCCTACTTCTTGACTGCTTTACATACACTTTACAGTAGTCTCAAATTCAAATCCAAGTTCCAGCTAGAATTAACTTCTCAACATCAAATTCCCCAAAGCTGTCAGGTTTACTCCATACTTGCCAACTATTAGCCCATTAAAAAAAAAATCACATGTATGAAGCTTGAAGAAAGAAAATCAGTTTAAGCACAAGCTGAAATTCTAAGTCTCCCCCAAATACAAAAGGCTTATAAGAGATGCTTAATGACAGTTAAAGTCAAAGTGTTAAATTAAGGAGTTTTTAAAAATTACTAGGGTGAGAGAGAAGGTTCCATTTGATTAAAATCTATCAGAAGCTAGAATTAAACTCTTGAGAGCAAATTCCAACATCAAGTAGTAGCTAGTCATTCTAATGAATTCCAGAGTGTATATCAGAATGCCCTTGAATTTCATGTTCTAAGAGTATTAATTAGAACTGCAAAGATGGGGAAATCTAACAAAAGGACATGTCTTTAGACACTCATGGGAAAGAAAGACAACCTTCATACTCCTATCCAGAAAAGGCCCAGCTAATCATCCTGAAAATCTTGAAGTTGCCATTACATTAATTTCTTAGTTATACAGGTGATTCTTTTTATTGTATATGCCAAGAACCACAGGAGCCTAGTTAAATCACCAGCTAAAATACAAGCACAAGCAGTGATACCTCAAACAATGGCATGTCCTGATTTCATGGTTTTCCAAGCTAGTATCTTAGTTTCCAGGCACATTCCAACTAATGAGGGAACCAATACAACCAAGTCCTGGGTCAGCAAACCAAAATACTAAAAACAAATCTCCAGAAGGCTAGAGCCAAACCAGGGAGTATGCCATATATCATCACCACCACAACCAGCAGACAAAATAAGAATGGGCACATGAATAAACTGGTTCTTGGAACTGTCAAAAAGGAAAGTAAAGCCTAAAATCTAGGAAGCACAGAGATGAAACAAAAACAAAAAACGACTGCAAACATCAGAGTCAGCAGGGCACACTACACAGATGTGGTCACAGGGACTGGCCAGAGAAGAAGAGACAGAACGCTGGACAGGACAGTGGCTTGCTGCACAGAGCCAGCCTGAGGCAGGACTTACTCATCGTTTTACACACAGCCATACAATAGTCCTCAGACTCAAAATTGTTCCTGTTGCCTCCGCAGCCGCCATATATAAAGCGCACGCATTTTCCCTTGGAGAGGTCGAAGTACCAACGGGGCATCACGGCCCGGCAGGGCCCTGTCATCGCTTCCTGGGAGCAGACAGCTGTGTGGAGATGGGTTAGAATGTCAGCAGGGAAGAGGTAGGAGCTTCAAATGCTTTTAACATGCTACAGACCAGCAGCCTTTAGGTAAGGTTAACGTTGTATGATATTCAGCATCCACGAAGTATCAAAATTGGACAACCACCAGCAGATACAATACCAGCTACCTGACTGTTCACAACCTCAAAGGGTTCTTAATTAAATAAGGTAAGCAACTATGAAGGAATTGCAAGTTAAAAGTCATGTGCACAGTATGATGCCTATGACAACATCATGAATAGATGGCAATATTTGCAACATGCAGCTAGAGGCCTAGAGTCTTCCTTATGTCTACTTCCCAAGAACAGACACTTGATCCTATCCTAGTTATTCTCCAAGTGGGCCTGTGTTTATTTTTCAGCTCTACAATGGACCCTAACATGCAACCTTCTCCAGTTTTAGGAAATTACTTTATCTTCAGTATGCTGCTATTAAATCTGTCAGCATTTTTACCTGAGAGATTAAAAATTTTGACCTGATTCAGTGACATGTAGGTCAACTAATTTTGCAATCAATATTCCCAACTATGAAAATGTTGCAATGGACACTGACAGCAATCTATACATTGGAGAAAAGAGAGAGGAAAGAGACTTTACTACATACATACATATAATGTAGAAAGATATAAACATATCTATCTGAATATATGTATTTGTGCTATATAAACAAAATGCAAATTTATTAAATATTATTAATGTGTTTATGTATGTACATACATACACACACACATACACAACGGAGGATGGCTAAAGGGACTTTCCACTTAGGTCAAATGTGGGAGGTGGCATTACCATGTTTAACATATGCTTAACATATTCATTAAAGCAGACTAACTTGCCTCTCATTTTCTAGTAAAAGGGAGCAAGAAGTCTCAAAAAAACTAATTATTTCAACTGCTGGTAAGGTCTTAAACATGCCTATATCCTGTTCTATAAGTATAGCCACAAGTAACAAAATTGCTTGTGATTCAATCTAGCACCTCTCTCACTAGATGTGTCAGCTGCTAAGGGCACCTTGCCAAGAAAACTACCTACCAACTTTCAAAATGGGACTGACCAATGCTCCTGACAGTTCATTTCATTTCCGATGCCTACAAGCACCATTCTTTAATTTCTGATTTACACATAGTGATTAAAGTTGTTGAAGTACTAACAGTAATAGGATCCAATTATATATGAATTTTAAAGCCATGGCCCTGTCCACAGAGAAACTAGAAATTACCTTTAACATCATGAGTTATTTCCTTCTCAGAGAGAGTTCCATCACTGCTAGGTTCAGTTGGAGTCTCTTCAATGTAGCCATCTACTTTGTAGTTGTTATCATAATAATAATCACGATCTTCTACAACTTCTTCTTCTTCTTCTTCATCTCCTTCTTCCTCATCATCTTCCACAGCTGCTTCTGTGAAGTCTTCTATATCTGCTTCAGTAGGAAATTCACTAGAAAGACCAAAATTAGAAATTTCAATGCACCTACCCAATGACTCTTAGCACTCTTAAGCTTTCATATAAAGGTTTCAAACTGTTAAAACATGGTGATGTGGCTTGGAAGAGTATAAATATTAATAGTTACTAAGGTTCTTCATGACTTACTCAGATTATGACAATTAGATGCTTCAAGATGGGACCAAAGCTGCTTCTCCATTCTCCTAGAAATTTCCTCTTCTAAAAGTAACATGGAGCCACTTATGTGTGAACTAAAAAAAAAATTTTTTTCTAAATCCAGAAAGCCATTACCTCTTATAAATGTCATAATCTTCATCTTCTTCTTCATCGTCTTTCTCATCCTCATCTTCCTCTTTTGAGGAAATGGATTCAATTACTTTGGTTTGGGGGCAGCACACATACTCAGTGCCATGAAATTGGTCCAGCCCACAGGGTAGCAGCATACCATAACTGTACAAGGTCATTCCCTGAGACATACATGCCTAGAAGAGACAGAGGGGCCAACATAGTTGAAGGCTTTACAGTGAATCTGTTTCAAACATTTCCCTTTTCCAAGCACATTTCACTACAGAAAAATGCCTTATGAAAAAAATCAAACTATATCAATATCTAAAATTAAAGAGAGCTAGAGGAACCCTGGAGATCGACTATCTAGGTCCAAACTGCTCTTTGATGCTGTTTTTAAAGCAAAAAAGAAAAACTGAAGCCTGGAGAGGCAAAATGGACTTGGCTAAGATCACAAAACAATTTGCAGGCAGAGCCATAATTTCAACTCAAATCCTCTAAGTCCAAGATTCTTTCCACTGTAGCTGCCTCTATGAATTTCCTGAAACACACAATAATTTATGTTATTCTGAACAGGTTAACATTGAAATATGTATGCAACACCCACACTCAAAGCTCTCTTCCTGCCATACAAAGATAAAGCTCTGTGCCTATCATTTAGCGAGATTCTCAAACTCTGCAATAGTTAGTACAGGATAACTGTCTACAATCAGGTTTTTTTTTCCCACGTTAGCAAAACAGGAACATGAAAACAAGATTCCCATTGTTACCTACACAAATACTTTAACATACTTCCTGTTAGTGGCTATCACTTGTCAGTCAGCTAAGGTGCATTTATTAAGGACCTAATATTTGCCAGGCACTGGACAGTCATCACTGAACTTCAACAACCTATCAATCACAGGTCTGGTATATGATCAGCACGCACATGCCCACCAACCAAATGGCTGACAAAGTTTATTAATTTTTCACTCTAGATTTTGTATTAGAATATTCATATCATGACAAAATAATAATAACTCAAGTACAAAATAAGAACTTAAGTACTCATATTTCCCATTTCCATTGTCTTTTTTTACCTCTTTTGTTACAGCATGCCAGTGCTGGTGATACTCGCACACATCTGTTTTTTCTTTATGGAAAAACTGACACCTCTCTGGGACCAGCAGAACATCACTCACAAACTCACCAACTGAAAAAAGAAAAAGGATTATCAGAGGCAAATTTGCTCTTCAAATTTGTTGATGAAAACAATCTATCAAGCAAGCACAAATACTCAAGGCTATTATAGGATTAATGACACTTCTATTACTAATTCACTTAAAAATTACTTTACACTCCACAGCCACTCCAAAATAAACTGATTTCAAGTGACTTTGCTAGTCTAGCAAAATTTAGGTCTTAACGAACCTCTCACACCAAATGCCATGATAAGCTCAAAGTGGATATAGGAACCAAATATAAAAGGCCACATCATAAACTAATTAGAGGAGCAAGAAAGAAGATACTTTTGGTTACTAGGAATAGAGAAATTTCTTGGATGAAGAAGGGAGAAAAAGGATCCAAGTAGACAAAATGGACAATTTTGATTACAGGAAAACTAACAGCCTTTCACAAACAAGATTATTACAGCTAGAATCAAAAAGAAAATGGTGAGATAGAGGGACAAAAACTTTGCAACAATTAACTCTGATAAAAGACTAGCTCAAGATTTATTTAGGGAACTGGCCTATTCCATAATAAATGGTACAAAAGATATAAACAGGTACTTCTCAAAAGGCATCAAAAAACATATGAAAAGTACCCCAAATTATTAAGTAAGAAAAATGCAAATTACAACTACTATGAGGTTCTACCTCACATCCATCGGACTGCCAAAGATGACCAAAAAAAAGAAAATGACAAATGCTGGAGGGGATGTAGGAGGAAAGGCACACATTTGGTACTCCTAGTAGAGTTGTGAACTAATTAGGTCATTCCGAAGTAAAGTCCAGAACTACACTCAAAAAATCCAGTGAATTGTGAATACCCTTTGATCTAGCAATACCACCAACCAGTAGGCGTGTACTGCAGGAAATACCAAGGAAAAAGGAAAAGGACAGACATATACAAAAAATATTCATGATAGTACTTTTTTTCCTAGTTGACAAGTGCCTAAAGCTGTGCCTGTCAACTGGGGAATAACTGAACAAATCTTTTCACATGAATGTATTAGTATTTTGTTGTATCATAAAAATGCCAAGGAATGGATTAGAGAAACCTGGGAAAACCAGGGTAAGTAATACAGGGTAGGACAGATCAGAACAACATACATAATTAGCACCAACACTGTAAATAAAAACAAACTGAAAATAATTAAGAACTTGAGGAAGAGGACAGTAATAGTGACACCAAAAGAAGAAATACTGTATAGTCCATGAAGTATTTCTTTTTAATGCACAGAAGAGAAGTAGGTTCAAAGGGAAACAAACAGCAGGAACTAATATGCCAAATTTAGTATTACTCTAAAAACCCCAAGTTGTAAGTAATGAGATAATGAGACAATTTCATCAACATACTCTTTCTGTTCTTTCTATGTAGAAAAACATTCATGTTTGTCAAGTTCAGAACAAGAAGAAACAAAAACCTTGCAACATTAATGAAGTACTTTTATTATGTGCTAACAAATAGCTCCTGTATAAACAACAAGAAGGGATGGAGGAGTGGAAAAGTGCCTTACAAAAAAAGGACAAAAGTAACTCCAGTCCAACTGGTTGTTAGATCTAAGATCACAGCCCAGTTTGTCAATCATTTTCAAAGTCTGTGCCCACCAACTTTAATTTTATAGTTTTGGTTTTGAACATGGATAGGGATTCAAGATAGGATATGTGAATTTAATGACAGAGAACTACTGGGAGGAGGAAATTCCTTTACTAATGCGTAAGACTATATTCTCTGCAAAACAGAATCTTTTTGAGTATGGCAAAAACTAGGCATAGATCAAATTCTCACACCATATACCAAAAAAAAGTCACAATGGGTTCATGATTTAGATATAAAGGCTGATACCATAAGTAAACTGAGAGAGCAAGGAATAGTTTACCTATCATATTTATGGAGAACAGAAGAATTCATGACCAAACAGGAGATAGAGAACATTACAAAAAAGCAAAATGGATAACTCTGATTACATTAAATTAAAAAGTTTTTGCACAAACAAAACCAATGCAACTAAAACTAGAAGGAAGGTAGAAAACTAGGAAAGAATTTTTACAACCAGTCTCTCTGATAAAGGCCTCATTTCTAAAGTATATAGAGAAATAAGTCAAATTTGTAAGAATACAAGTTATTCCCCAATTGATAAATGGTCAAAGGATATGAACAGACAGTTCTCAGATCAAGAAATTAAAGCCATCTATAGTCATATGAAAAAATGCTCTAAATAGTTATTGATTAGAGAAATGCAAATCAAAACAACTCTGAGGTATCACATCACACCTATCAGATTGGCTAACATGACAAAACAGGAAAATGATAAATGTTGGAGAAGATGTGGGAAAATTGGAACACTAATGCATTGTTGGTGGAGCTGTGAAATGATTCAACCATTTTGGAGAGCAATTTGGAACCATGCCCAAAGGGCTATAAAAATGTGCAGACCCTTTGACCCAACAATACCACTTCTAGGGCTATATTCCAGAGAGATCATACAAATGGGAAAAGGACCCACATGTACAAAAATATTTATAGCAGCTCTTTTTGTGGTGGCAAAGAATTGGAAATTGAGAGGATGCCCATCAATTGGGGAATGGCTGAACAAGTTGCGGTATATGAATGTAATGGAATACTATTGTGCTATAAGAAATGATGAACAGGCTGACTTCAGAAAATCCTGGAAAGACTTGCATGGATTGATGCTGAGTGAAATGAGCAGAACCAGGAGAATGTTGTACGCAATAATAGCCACGTTGCGCGATGACTAATACTGATAGACTTAACCCTTCTCAACAATACAAGGATCTAAGATATCTCCAAAGGACTCATGATGGAAAATGCTATCCGCATCCAAAGAAAGAACTATAGGGTTTGAATGCAGATCAAATCATAGTATTTGCTACTTTTTTTCTTCTGTTGATTTCTGTTTCCTCTTTCTGGTGGTTCCTCCTACTGGTTCTAATTCTTTCTTACAACATCACTAATGTGAAAATATGTTTAATAGGAATGTATATGTATAGCCTATATCAGATTGTGTGCTGTCTCGGGGAGAGTAGTGGAGAGAAAGGGGGAGAAAAATTGTAAACTCAAAAGCACATGGAAGTGATTGTTGATAAATCAAAATAAATTAATTAAAAAAAAAAGAAAGAAAAAACAGAATCTTTTTGTTTTTATTTTTACTGATTACTCCCCACACCTCCATTCAACAAGAATATATTCCCTTAACCTCCCACCTACACCTTGGGGAAAAAAAAACCACCACAACATAGTGCTTGTAACAAATATGCATCTCATGATGAACAGGTCATGTTATCATGCTTCCTCATAAGTCCTCTGGAATTGTGGATCATCACTGCAACAACCAGAGTTCTTATACATTTCAAAATTGTTTATCTATATAATATTGTGGATCAAAGTGGAAAAGTTGGGAAAAAAATGACAAATGCTGGAGGGGCTATGGGAAAACAGGTTTTTTAATGCACTCTTGGATGGAGATGTGAATTGGTCCAGTCATTCTAGAATGCAATTTAGAACTATACCCTTAAAACTATTAAACTGTATATACCCTTTGACTCTGTAATAACTGCTACTAGGTCTATACTGCAAAGAGATCAAAGAGAGAAAGAATTCAAATTTACAAATGTATTTACAGTAGCTCTTTTTAGCAAAAAACAAAAACAAAAAAAGTGTAAAATGAGGGGATGCTCATTAAGTGAGAACAGCTGAACAAGTTATGGTATATGAAAGTGATGTAATACTACTGTACTATAAGAAATGATAAGATATGGGGCAGCTAAGTGACACAGTAGATAGAGCTCTAGCCTTGGAGACAGGAAGACCTGAGTTCAAATCCGGCCTCAGACACTTCAGAAACTTACTAGCTGTGTGACCCTGGGCAAGTCACTTAACTCCTACTGCCTCACCGAAAAAAAAAAGAAAAAGACAAAGAAATAAGGGGGAGGTAGCTTCAGAAGAATCTTTACCACTGCAACTAATGCAAAGTGAACTAAGCAGAAGCAAAACAATTCACACAGCAACAAGAAAATTATAGAGATGGGCAGCTTTGAAAGGCATAGCATCTCTGAGCAACACAATAACCAACCACAATTACAAAGGATTCATATGACAAAACATGTTATCCATCTGCAGATAAAGAGCTCGTGGAGTCAAAGTGCTGACTGAAACAAAATTTGGGAGGGGGCATAGTTAATGTGGTTAATTTTTTTCCCCCCGCACATAGCACATATATACAGGTATATAAATTGTTGTTATGGTTCTGTTCACCTGACTCTAAATTCATACAACCCCTCCAACGTTTCCTCAAAACTATCTATGAAAGTTTCATCATTTCTTTTCTTTTCTTTTTTTTTTAATTTTGTTTTTTTGTTTTTGGGCAATTGGGGTTAAGTGACTTGCCCAGGGTCACACAGCTAGTAAGTGTCAAGTGTTTGGTCTGAGGCTATATTTGAACTCAGGCCCTCCTGACTTCAGAGCCTGTGCTCTATCCACTGCGCCACCTCGCTGCCCCAAGTTTCATCATTTCTTATGGCACAATAATATTCCATTATAAATATATACCAGTTTGTTTAGCCACTCCCCTGTTGATGGGCAGTCCCTTCATTTGTTATTTTTAGCAAACCAAAACACTTCTGAACATATGGATCCTCTTACTTTTTTTGGTCCCTTTGAGTTATATGCCTACCAATGGGAATGCTTCGTCACAGAATATGAACATTTTAACAGCTTCTTCCAAATGGCTTTGCAGAAATGCCTGACCAATTCACAGCTCCAGCACAGCGTTAGTATGCCTAACTTACCATAGCCCTTTTAAACGTTTGTATTATCTGATGGGTGTGGAGCAGAACTTAGAGTTGCTTTAATTTGCATTCCTCTGAGTGATTTGGAACATTTTTTCATATAATCATAGACAGTTTGGATTTCTTCCCTTGAAAACTGCCTGTTCACATACATTGGCCCTTTTTTGATTGGGGACTGGCT